CTGAATTTGTGTGCGTGGAAAATTTGACTGTGTAGAGAGATTTTTATCTCGAATCGTCAGCGAAAAGCGACAAATCAATACTCGTTTTAGACTCTAGCGAAATTGGCAACAAAATAAACGCTCGAAGCAGAGGACGGACGCTTATCGAACGGCAATTACAGTGCAGAGGCGTTTTTTTTTCTCGTTTTTTTTTGTGCCAATCCAAGCGCTAATTAGCGAGCAATTATTTCGGGCAATTAAGCGCGAGGAGTCTTTTTACAGGTTTTCGCAATTTTCGGTCAGCTCGCAGCTCGCGTAATATGCAGTGCAAACGCAAAACTGTATGAGGCTCTCTCTGGCCCCCAAAGAGCTAATGCGCGCCCCGTGTAAAAACATCAAGCGGCGGCGGAGTTCACGTAATAATGGCAGCGTCATTAACTTAATTGCTGCGAGCGCGCGCGCGTACAGTAGCTGCACGTCAGCCACACGTCAGCCGCAAACGAGAGAAAAGCACAGCGCGGATAATTCTGCTTTATCAGAAGCTCGTTACTCTCACGACTGCAGCTGTAATCACACGTTGCTCTCGCTGCCTCGGTGTTGCATGCTCGCCCCAGACCTTTGGCCCCCTTTGCGTCTTTCACTTATGCCCTTCTCGTTTTCTCATAATTGAGTATACGATAATCAACTCTCAAATGTAATTGCTACTACTTTCGACCGCACGTGCAAACACGTTACGCGCGCCGCGATGAGTCTTTCACGCAGCTGCTGTGCATTCGCTCTGACGAAATCGCTTTCGGCTCAACGCTCCTCGTCCTCGTGCAGATTAGCTTTTTCTCCTTGCACTGATACCGATCTCACGCTCACCAACACCAGTGTTGACCCAAGAAGCGTTTCAAAGGCTAACAACCTGCGAAACCGACCGAAACGACGGAGGGAAACGCAAAAAATACACACAGACGAAGCTCTGACCTCTTTTGGCCGAGCGTTCGGCTAAAAAGAGGAATGAGCTTGGTTCGTTTGGGCAAGCGACGAGCGCTCGTTTCATCAGTTGCACGCGCGTCAAGTTTATCCCGATGACAAAAAAAAAAAAACAGAGGCCCTGAAGTGCGCACACACAGCCTCATCTGAATAATGAACGGCCGAAGAGTCCAGGAAGTTAGTCTGCGTGTGCCGGCACATCGAACCCAAAGCAACGACGCCCCAGGGACAGCTGCGGAGGTGCGTGCAAGACTACGCGACGATGATAAACCGTGTGTGCTGTGCCTAGCATGTTTGTTTGGTTTTTTTTTTCGCGTGCGGAGCTCTCGCCTTTTGCCTGCTATAGAGGAACTTTTTTTCCTATCCCTCCCGGCTATATTTTTTCCTGGACGCAGAGCCCAAGCTTCTATCATGGTTGGAAAATTGCGTGCGTTTAGTCGGCTGTTCTGCTCCCTCTCTCACTCTCACTCTCTTTCTCGCCCTCTCGCCCTCTCTCTCTCTCTCTCTCTCTCTCTCTCTCTTTCTTTCGCTTTCTCTAGCAATGGGAATGATTCGGCGCAACATGCATTGGCTTTTGCGCAAAGCGACTAATTTTTAAAATACGCTTCTACGCCTGACTGTTTGTAAATGTGCGTTCTCCATTTGCGGTTTAGCGTTTTAATAAACGTGTCAATTTTGCTCGGTCAAGCTTTCAGAATTTTTCCGCTGAAATTCTACGCGTCATATGTGAAAGCTCTATACCGTCACGGAAAAATAAGAATGAAAAATTGCATGTCCATCCGTCTGACGGGTGTCGTAAAATTTATATTGTTCGGCACACAAAAAAGCAAGCAAAGAGAGAGTGTGAAAGCCCGAGATTTTTCACGATGCTGGAAAGCGATTGTAAAAAACTGTCACACGAAAGTTTCATATTTCAAAAGCATTTTCGACTTTTTTTATGAATTTTCAAGTTTCAAGCGGAAAATCCGCGCACAAGCACGCGCAGTTATTAATGAGTTCTTTTTAATTGAAATTTTGCGTAGCGAGGAAATTTCCACTTGCAAAAGATTTGGCCTCTGACAATCTGAATCATGCGTAATGAGCTTTTGTTGATCACATCAAATTCAATGGTAGTTAATAATGTTAATACCATAGGCTATTCGTATTGGAAAAAAGAGAATAATCCGTGTCTGAGAGTGTGATCATTCGACTGCATTTTTATACGCACATGAGCTCGCTATTCGGGCGGTATTCTAAGAGGATACATCTATAACGGCGAAACGTCAAAAGAATGTTAAACAAGATTATGAAGAAAGGACGGTACAATACAGCATGGAAGCATAGTGCGAAAACATCGATCGAAGTTTCTGCGAAAGTAGTACGTCGCGCGAACACACAGGGCCCATGTAATAAAAGGCGCAGAGCAGCCGGAGGGCCAAAGAGCCGGCGCGCGAGGCCATATATCCGAAGACAGAGCTGAGCGAAACTTGGAAAGGCGGTGTATATCTGTGTGAGCCATTGATTTCGAGTGTCAGCCGCATCCCGGAGCGCCGAGGATAGATGGGCCGCTATCTGCTGCGGGAGATTAATACGGCTGCCGCGGGAGCACACCGCCGTCAAGCGGAAAAAGGCCCGAAAAGCCGCGCGCACGCAGCCGCCCTCGATAAATTCGCATTATCGGCCTCGATGCATTAATGCCGGGTAATTTATGCGCCAACTGAGTATTTATGCTTCGCTCGTGCGAAAGCGACTGATAGCCACGGCGTGGCCGACCCCTTGGAACGCTTGCGCGGAGCGCCGAACGCTGTTGCGCCTTTGACCAATCCTCCTTGCGCTTCGACTGCTTCGACTGTCCCGCAGTGCCTTCCGGCCGCTTTCTTACTCCCGCGCACTTCGTTTATTTTACTCGATTCGATCCTCTTGCACGCCTCCTCCGTTCGAAAACACTTTCAGTTTTCAAATATTTCAATTCTAGAGCCAATTAGGTCCATCGACGCTTTCACAGAATGGTCAAAAGTTTACGTTTACCGATTCAAACGACTATTTATTACTTGTCGAAGCTAGCACGGCTAAACTGAAGACATACGTTTCGCTCGAAAGAGGAAATGAATCGGTCGGCCGTATTCATTGGTGTTATGCTAGCCGCCCGACCAAGCTCGATTTATACTACTTGCATGAATCCACCAGTGTGCGCAATCAGTAATAGAATTGGAATCGATATTAAACGTAAAATGCAAGCTAGATGCGACGGCTGGCTGGGATAACGTACGTCACGATGATACATTTACTCGGATTATCATGATTTTCATTAATGCGTAAGTCATTATAAACTAGCAGCACCGGGATAGTAAATTGGCCATCAGAGCTTGCAGCAAGCTAATCAGCGTGTTTTAATCCGGTATTTCGGCGCGTAATATCTTAAGGCAGCAAAGCCACGGGAGAGGTGATTTCAATCGAATCTCGAGACTCGGAGACTCGAGACGAGATGAGGCTGTGGCGGCAGCGTTCAATCAAGTTTGTTGGCTGGTCTAATGAGGGCGCGCGCGGAGGGTGCAAAGCCACAAGCCACCAACAAAGTAGACACATCATCGCGAGAATCCAATAACCAGAATCGTTATCGAGCTGCCGCAGATTGCTATCAGTCGCAGCTCTGCACCTCGGCTCGGAGCCACGTCGTGCCAGCTGCTACAACACGCTTACAAACGACCCTCGAGCATCTCTTTCTCTCTCGAATTTGCTTCAGGAACAATCCGTGTCGTTGAAAGGTTACCCGGGTAATCCGTCTCTAGTCAAAGCTTCAACAGCCGTCATCGAATACTACTCTCGTTTACCGTATTTATTTGTCTCATTTTTTTCCTGCTCCTTCCCTCTCAAGCACTGCCATCATCGCAGGAGACGAACGAGTTTTGTTTTTTTTTTCGTATTACTGGGCTCCCATTTATCTTCGATATCCGTAAATTCCACTATTGCGGATCAACCTTTTTCCTTGTAAATTGAAAGTCACGTTACTTTGTTCAATGGCAGTTGCAATCAAGCTAACCTCATGTAAAACTTCATTTGACACCTATAATATTTCAGAATTAAATGAATAATAATGAAAAGAATTGTAAATAATGAAAGAAAATGTCTAATGGCTTATACAGTAGTACAAGCGTACATATCGTCAGACCACAATAGCACATTGCAAATTTTATAACCAGCCTCACTCTGAACTATCTTTGTTACATCGACAACTTTCATCGCGCCTAAAACTTTGTTTTTGTGCAGTCTAAAAACACCTAATTAATCATCATTACAATCAAAAGTTTTCATCAGAGCACTTCCATTCAGAGAATCTCACGGCGAACTTTTACTCACAATACCACGTAATTTCTGTTCTCTACACTCCGAACCATTCGGATGGTAGTCTCATGCAATTTGAGCAAAAAAAATACCTTGAAAGGTGAGCCGAAAAATTCGATTGTTCACCGTCTGCTTGATTCGGCGAGAGGTGGTGATTATATACAAGTAGTAATTCTCGGTGTCAAGTTTCGAAAGTTGAAACTTGAGAAAGACGCCTCGTCGCGGAACGATTGTGCATGCTCGCTCGTGCCTCCGTCACTGGACCAACAAATTCAATTAAAACTCGGCTTTGCACTGCTAATGAAACGAAGACATTTCGAAGGCCAGTCGGCGCTGCGCGTTCTCAAACTTCATAGCTGGCGACACTCGAAATTCTTAGTCTCTCCTTCGTTAGGACCGTGACGCCGCCCCGGCTGAAATGCTAAAAAAACACACGCAAACTAACTTGCTGACGCAGCGCCCTTTGCTAGCTGCTGCATAATGCACAAACATTGCATTATACATGCGCAGTGCAGTGCGCCACTCGCGCGCTCGCTATTCCGTTCTCGCATGCGTTCTGTGCTCTATTTGACCACTTCATACGCCACATGTTTTCCCTGATTTTCCTAACTGACATGATTTAAGTTTTTTCTTCACTTCATGTACGTGACTCAACGATGCAAGTTTTATTTGCTTAATTGCGTACTTTTAATTATCAAACGATTTTATGAAAATGTACCAACCTCTTAATTCAATCCCAGCCAACAGGTCTCTGTAACATAAAAACACAACGTACCATTAAGTAACTCTTCATTTTTCATAACGAAACTTTAGATGCGCATGAATATCCGCAATTTTATTTGCGGCGAGCTGTAAGTAATTAATTATGCAAAGAATAACTAAAATATCAACATCGTATTAAATTAGTACTGTCCTATCATAATTCAACGCCAATGAACTTCCGTTAGAAATGCTTCCTCATTAATTGCATATATTTAAATTATTCATTATGGTAAAATTGTATTTCTATACGTGCAATTAAATTTCGTTGCCTACAATTAGCAATTGTAATATGCATGCGTTAATAAAATCCGATGTAGCAATTTTCGATACATATGGATATTGCTGCGACAATATAAGAATAGTATTGGTTTCTTTGATATTAAAAAAAATGGAGAAAATGCGAAGGAAAGGTTGAAAAAGCGAAGAATCGTATGCATAAATTGGTATCGAAATGGCGCGCAACATTAAGTACCTACAAGAAGTTAAAATCGAAAAGTAAGATGAGAGAGAGAGAGAGAGAGAGAGAGAGAGAGAGAAGCAGCTGGCTGTTTGCTGCATCCGCAGTGCTCGAGCCATTGCTGTGCGAGAGCGATTTTATTCAAATGAACCGATTGATCGAGGCACCAAGCTACCGTTTGTTTCTATTCCCCCTTTTCTTTCTGCTGCTTCTTTTTCAGCTTGCGCTGCAGCAGTCTTCCTTGACTTTTCCTTCTTAGTTTGTTTTCTTTCCAGCTTCGGCATATTAATTCAAAGACTTCGACCCTCCAACAGAACACGAGAAATGCTTTGAAAATGTTCGCCAGTAGATCTCAAGTCTCTCGTTTATTAACCTGACTGACGGTATGGTAATTGAAAAAAATTTAGGTCAGCTCTTGTTGCTGTGGCTGGACAGTTATGACAACTGAATTACAAACTGCACATGTTACGTTTAAATAAAATTGTCAATATTGACGGGCAGATAGCGCTCGTGATTTTACAAGCATTACTTGTACCAAATACGCGTGAGCATTGGGAGCCCGTTAATCAAATCACTGAATCGTGTCGAGGGCCAAAATCAAATATACAAATGAAACGTCTAGCAATTATTGAATTAGAGCTCTTTTGCCGCGATAAAAACTTATTTATTTATGCGATTTGAAAGTCAGTATTTACAAGTATCAATCAGAGCATCGCTGTGATTACGAAAAGAAAGATAAACAAAACTTAAAGCGAAGCTCAAACTGAGTCAAAGTTATTATTGTTAGAAGACGATGAAAAATTACGGGCTGCAGCGTAACTGACTCTGCGGCCCGTTTGATTCAATCCCGAGCAAATATACGTGCAACAACACGCGTGCGATATAAATAATAGGCCCAAGACGGCGTCGACTCACGACGGCTCTGTAGCGTGCGAAAGGGCAATTTCTCTTCATTGATTTCGCCGCCGGCAGCGACGGCCTGGAATTTTCTCCTTGGCATTCGGACTGCGCGCTATTGTTTCTTACTCCCCGGTAAAATGAAATTGGAAATGCCGAGAGAGAAACCTGCGCTGCTGCTGACCAGCGAGCAACTTCGCAAATGCGAAAAAGAGCGACGCTGATTAAATGTGGATTAGCAAGCATTTGAAAGAAATTGTTCGATGATTTCAATCTTTTGCAGCTCGGACAAGTGATTTTTCTTGTTTGGCAATGGCGCACCGACGCCGCTTCGAAAAAACGGAATATACCGCGCTTTCATTTCTCTTTTATTATACTTTTCTCTATCCTGCACCTCTCTCATCTGTAACGGTACGTAGTATATTTTTGAAGCACCTGCATACGGCAACCCGTCGTACCCGTGATCATTTCAGATTAGAATAATCAAATATCAGGTGCGAATTAGTTATTAGCGATCAAATCTATTATCATATATGGAAAGTGACGCTACAACAAACAATGGGTATATAGATATATCCATTATAAAAATACTTTATTCATCGCTTCGCTTTTTTATGATATTCCAACACTTACATAAATACCCAGTGTGTTAACATAGGATAAGAATTTACCTTAATATTTAATCAATATACTATTTATGTACTCTTATTTTGTGAGCGAATATTTACTATCAAACAATTATTTTAAATAAATAATCGCGATATAATGTAGTGCGGATACTAAAGATAGGAAATTATCACATCACAGCAAAATGTTGTATAAAAAAACCACTATATGGTTATCATTTAATAGTTATTACAAAAATGCAATAATTTATAAATAAAAAATATGTATTTACGTTAAAGATTGGTATGCGTATGTAATCAGAAAAAAGATTTCAACCCGAATAAGTAATTATTTTTGAATTTATAGCGAAATGTATAACATTTATAATTTACGGTTACTTATCGATGTATTTGAATTTGTATAAGCTTTGGACACGCTGTTATAGAGAACTCGCAAATTTATAATACGCAAAAACTAAAAATGTAACAGAATTTTTATTATACAATGGGTGCAACATTGAAGCGTTTATAAATAATTTAGTAAATCTTTTAATTCTTTGCTCTATATGAATTTTTGCTAATATATTTTTAAATAAAACAATTGCAAATACATCGGAAACAAGTTGTAACGATTAAATCTAAAGTTTGCGTTCACTTTGAAAATATCGAAAATAGCGTGGAAAGGGCATTTAAGAAAATGTCTATAAAATACATAGAAACCGCTATATTCGATGAATTCGTGAGGTCGGACAACGCCCATAATTGATCATAAATGAATATTAAATAAGCATAAATAATTGCAAATTGTTTTTACCCATTAATACATATCGTAGAGTCAGTTATTCTTACTTAATGTATATTTGTTTACAATAATGAGGGTTAACTATCCTGTGTTATGATATAAAGAAGTATGGATGACTGCGCTATTCCGTGTAAACTGTAAATTATTGACGTATAATAGATTCTACGATGGGTGAATTTTGATCCGTCATCCTCTTAAGCGTGAAATTGCCCAAGAATGTATAAATAGGTCTCATCGACTGCAGAGAACCTAGTTGTAACTTTGCTATTCGTCGTCTACCACTAAGGATTTTGCCTCAACTCGGCAAGGCACCGAAAGATTAATAAACTCAGCTTAATTCCTGAGATTATTTTTTGATTAAATGAACTATGTTCAGGTAACTTCTCTGTCTCTCTCTCTCTCTCTCCCTCTCTTTAAGAAATCTTAGAGTTTCAACTCTTTAAGTCCCTACTGAACAAAAAGTGGATCTAAGACTTTCATCCATTATTTCTGATCGGAGATCTAACTTTATTATGCCACGAAACTATCAAGCCTATCTCCTTGGTAGTATTGACTACAACTTTGTCATATTTCGGATGATCATCTTGAAATCAAACTGAGTCCAATTAGTACATTTTTTGGTAAGAAATTTAAATTTCACTATAGCATCTTTACTTAGTAAAATGATTTTCACGCAAATCAATAGAGTAAAATTGCAGTATATTATGATTATCTTATTTTTCTCTTATTTAATAATAGAATATTTCTTATAGAATTTTTTTTATGTTTGATAAACGTAGTTCTCGACATTTTTTGTACTTATGACCTTAAGATTTTTTCATTTAAAAAAATTCCATCTACTTCAAACACATTTTTTTACATGCAGTAAATCCAATATTCGTGCTATTAGTAATAACAAATGACTTTGATTCAACTTCTTGTTATACCTCTCCGAAATAATAGTCTAGATTGATTCGGCTCCAATAAAAAATTTTACGATAATTTTAATCTAGTTAAATTTATAACATCTTATACACCCAAGACTGTGTATATTTACATTTATTTATGGCAGGTATCTTGTTAAGTATACTACAATCTATTAGAAATGTTACAAACAGATCAATTAGAATGAATAATGTTTCCATGCAAGCTTAATACTGAAAAATAATCTTCTTTTTCGGAACACAAAATCCAGTGGAATCAGCTCAAGTTAATAATATAGCGAGGTTTCTTTGATAGAAAGTCAATTGTCGTCTTATCTTACAGACTAGGATTTTCGAAGAACTGAACTTTTCTCGAAAGAAAAAAAGTAGATCAAATTCTAGCGTGGATGCTATTGATTTTCGCTTTTTCTCTCTCTTTTTCAGTATTTTGCTTGGCCGCGTCGACGAGCACTTGGAAAATCGAGGCAGAGACTCGATTAATTTTATTACTCTTCTCCAAACGTCTTGAATATCGTTTTCATTTCCTCTAATACGTGTGTGTACGTGCACGAACTCTAAGAGAATTTAAGGAACATTTGGAGCCACCTTCTCAAAAGCGTTAACTTTTAATTGAGGTAATATATAATAACGGATGTCGAAGTTATTGCAGCCAGTTTTTCAACTTTCTAGATTAATACAGATGTTTTAATTGAAAAATCGATTGAAATATTTAGCCGAAACACGGGGTGAAATAGGAAAAAAGTTGTTCACAGCTGAAAAGTATCGGAACAAAGGGGTGTGTGGTGCAGCTGGCGCAAGATCCCGCGAGCCCGTGAAAAAAGCCAACATGGGCAAGGCGCACGGGGTAGAGAGGATTGTTATGGGAGCTGTTTGAAAAGTGCTGGTGCGCGCTTAGTCGCTGAATGTGGCTCCTTCGCTAGAAATGCAATATGCGCTACATCCCCGAGAGATGTGTGCCGCGCAGAGACGCAGTGCACGGGCACATTTACCGTGCGGCTCTTGAGAATCGTCCGTGAAAATCCACCATAAAAGCACCTGCGCGCTTCATGCTCGTCGTGTAATAAATAAAGCACATGACGATAAAGCAAAAACACACTAGCGCACAAGTGACGGAGCCGAAGGAAAAATACTGGCGCGGCGTCCAACGAGCAACGGGAGCGAAAAAATAGAATTAGCTTCAACCCCGACGCTGCGCACCGCTGTCCGTCGCTCCGACGATATTCCCACCGCTCTTGCGTACCACCATCAAGACCTACCTATTCCGCTAGCTACGTGCGTGAAATGTCCATGTCCACTTTGTGCGCC